ATATGACAAGCTCGTGGCTAGCAAATATGTTGGTCGTGCACTTGCAGAATGGGCCCTAATTGTGTCCGAATACGATAGTTTCTTTGCGCGCAGAAGAGATGAAGGCGTTCCTTGCGACCGGTTGGTCGAGACTCCAATGCTAGGCGTTGAAAATATCAAGAAATAAGCAGAGCTACCAACAGCGAACCTCTTGCACGACATTTGTGTTTCGTTCATTTACATTGCGCTCTTGATTTGGGTTCACGGATAAACTTGGAGCATTTCTTGCATGAATATTTCCTTTTAATAACTTGTCTTTACTTTCCCTTCTCATCTGGCACGCGGGAGGTTATTCGTTTTCTAAAAAAGGGGAATTGGTCATCTACTCTACTTATCAACATTTCCCACACTACTGTATATAATAATGTCTACTTGATATGTATCATCGGTGTCATCGGCATGGGGTTATAGGCGTGGCATTTCTCAGATTTGTTCCTTTTTTCCCTCTGGAATATTCAGTTTCTATCTCAGGTCAGCAGGTTTAGCATGTACGCCAGCGAAGCATAGCATAGTGCGGAGCTATTTACTCTTTTCTTGCGTCGGTGACTGGAGAAGCATCGTATCCGTAGGTTTGAGTAGCAGGGCTATCCTATCCCTCTTCAATCAGATACAAAAGACCAAACCTATCTCGAAGAATTCATATATGATTGATGTAATGCAGCTAGCAACTCTATAGGACTAAAAGCAATACAGATATGGAATCGAGAAACCATGATACCAGGCTATATTACATGCCACTGTTACATGCCGATAAAACTAGGTCAAGTCAAATCAAGTCTAGTCGAATATAAATCACAACCAGAAAATGAATCACGTACTGTAATCCATAGAACAATGAAAATAATGAAAAATGACAAGATGGAAAAAATAGAGATCATAGTGTAAGCGCAAGCTAAAGAATTCCAGACACCAGACCAAATGTAGACCAAATGTAGACCAAATTAGGGTGTACAAGAAAGGTGAAGATGATGCAAGTTTCATGGCACGAAAGAGAAATGAGATAGGAGCGTAAGGTGGAGAAGTCTTTATACAGGTCGGATTTGAGTTGAAAGGGAAAAGAATCAGATATATTTCGGATAGGAGGCAAGGAAAGGAGAAAAAAAAAAAAAAAAAAAAAAAAAAAAAAAAAAAAAAAAAAAATGGCGGAGAAAACGATTGATTCAGTGAGAAAAAAGGTCGAGGTTATGATTTATGGAACAGGCTATCGCTCGCATTAACAACGATACCGGCGATCCGATCAACCCACTCCTGGGTCTGTGTCCAGTTGCGCGTGTTGTCAATGACATCGCGTATAGCCGGGAAATATGCTTCATCGTACCCAGACCACAACTGAGGTCCGAAGAGAACGTGTTTGAATTGTGTGCGGTTGGGTACCTGTATTTGTTAGAACAGTTCTCGGACCAAGGTGATGTTTAGGGCAGGGAAAAAGAACTTACTCCACCACCCTCTCTGAGATCAAGGAGATTACTTTCAAACGTTGCCATACGGGCGTTATGCACCATTCGTTGGATTCCCAGGACGTTGTTCTCGTATCCGCCTGAGCCCCAGACGGCGTCGTGCCATGCGTCGGACCATTGCTGGAATTGCTTTGAGTCTTGTTGGAGTTTCGAGGCTGCATCGTACAATGGCTGGAGGTTTACTGTTGCGTCGCGGGCAGTGTTGCCATCGTTGGCAATAGGGACCTCCTTTGATCTAGCGTATTCTTCCAGCCCTGTGACATATTCTTTGAGGTTGTTGCCGTACGCTTCCAGATCGAATGGCAAGACACGGCTATCCGCAAGTTGAACCAGCAGTAATCCCCAGAACTGGCCCAGGGCCTTGTGGTATTGGAAACCTGGGTCTCCAAATCGTTCCATCCAATCAAAGTTCTCGTAGCAGCTGTGGTACGGATATTTCTCGCCGGTAAAACCGAAGTCGATACTGGATGTTCCGGCTAGGTCCTGGAAGGCTACGTAGTCGCTTCCTGCGCCCAGGCCGGCCAGTTTCTTTTTCTTTTCTTCCCAGATTTCTTTCAGGGTCTTGTTGGTGAAGGGGTCTGAGATGCGGTTAAGGATTTGCAGCATTACGCGCTGGAAGACGGGTGAGGCAGAAGCGTGGAAATCTGAACCGCTCACGCCTGTGTCGACGTTAAGATAGGCGAATGCGTTTTCGCGGATTTCTTTGATATCTTTTTCGACATGTTCTGTCGAGCCGATGAGGTTATATTCTTCTCCGTCCCAGCTGGCGAATTCAATCGTTCGCAGCGGACGCCAGCCAAAGCTAAGCAGTTCTCCAAAGACACGAACAACTTCGAGCATTACCGCTGTGCCACTGCCCGGGTCGGAGCTACCTAAGCACCAAGAGTCCCGGTGGTTGCCAACGATGATTTTCTTCTTGGGCTGTTCAACGCCGGTAATTCTCCCGATAACGTTGTAGATCGGTTGCTTTTCTACTTCATCCTGCATGTTCATCAGGTTTATGCGGGGCGAATTCTTGTCACCCGTCCACCACTGCGGTACATCAGGGACTCCGCCAACCCATTTGGGTGGTACCTTGGAGCCGTGGCCCTTGAGTACTTGCAATAGTCGTTGCGCATCACGTGAAGCGATAGGAATACTTGGAATAGCAACCAACCCAGGACTCTCTTCTGGCTTGAGCCTTCCTTTCTCCCCAGCAAGTGAGGGAAATCCGGGCGTGAGTACATCACCTACCACCCATGACATCAAACTTACGGCGCCTCTCTGCACTCCGTCGGCCGGCATGAACCGTCCGTTAGGATAGGCAGGACCTCGAATGAACCCATCTTCCGACGGATCAGAGTAAATGATACAGCCAGCTGCACCGGCAAGTTCCGCCGCTTTGACCTTCAGCGCCCTGTCCGTCTCGGAACCGTAGTAGCGAACCAGTGCAATAGAGCCTTCCACTGAGACGCCCTGGTCAGCGAGCAGCTTGAAGTCTTCGCGCGATCCGTAGTTTGCGTAAATAAGGTGGCCTGTCACGTTTCCGCTCTTGGAATGCCCATGAAACACGGGGACCTCGCGATCGTCTTCTTCAAGCGTCGCTTCCCAAAACAGATCGGGTGGGTCGACAATGGCCACCCGGCGACCATCCTCCTGGGGGTAGTTCAGATAGACCTGGAATTCTTCCCTCTCGACCTCATCGAAACCTGCGCTGCGGAACTCCTGCTCGATCCACTCTGCCAGCACGAAGCTTCCTTCTGTGCCGGCCATATGCGGATAATTTGTCATCTTTCTCAGATTCTCGGCGATTTTGGTTTCGTTGACTTGGCCCTGGATGAAGTTTTCAATCGATGATGAGCTGAACGACTGGCCAATGATAAATCGCGTATTCATGCTGAAGATGTCGGAAATGAAAAAGATGTAGACCATAGAAACCACCAGCAACAGCCCAAATAACCGTAACATGACAATACATCCCTGGCCCTGAAACCTCGTCCTCGCCTCATTGAGATTGACTGTCCAGCGGAAGTTCGGTAATAGCCGGCGCAAAGGGAGATGGATCGCAGAGAGCTTTCGCGTCAAGGTACTAAACGGCTTCGCAAATCGATTCCGTAACCGCGACGCTCGCTGTGGCGAATATGATTGTTGCCCACCATCTTCTACATCCATCTGATCCAATTCCCGCTGTAGTTCCTCCAACGAACCCCTATCGGAACCCGAAGCGGCGGAGTCGAGATCATCCAAACTGTTGCGGGCGGATTCGACGGTGGGCGGGTGGTATCCACGCGGGAACGATTGAGGATGTGAGGGATTCCCATTGTTATCCCGGGTTACGTTTGCATCGTCATTGTTATTGTCGTGCTGTTGCAATAGGCCTTCTCGTTCGGTATCGTCGCTAGCCTCGTTGCGATCCGGGTGTAATCGTGAAGATCCGGGGCGGTTTCCAATAGCCTCGTCGTAGGAAGGAATGGGGAGAGCTTGGTAATTGAATTTCTTATCGCCCATGGTGGACGGAAGTCGGGGGCTCCGGGGAGCAGCAAAGGAAGCTGGACAGAGTCACGGACGCTGAACTAGACGGGATCATGATCTGATCGAGAGAAAAGGAGTGACAGTCTGGGCGACCATGCTCGAGCGAGCGATAATCCAGATATTTAGAGAGACGGGGATTTAGAAAAGAAGGATGATAGTTGAACAGTTGAAGGAAGTGAGGACGGAAACTGGATGCCTCCTGTTCAGTTCCCCAGAACACCGCGTGGCGCAGACCCACCGCCAAGTGACAGAAACGGCCAACTGGAGTGACATGTACCAGGGGTATTGTGGCTGTTAAGAGTAATCCGTGGAAAAATTGGAATTCAAATACATTATTGTCTAAGATGGCTTCGCGACGAGAGATCTCGATACTCCGGGCTCTCCGGTCGGTTGATCTATACGGAGTAGACCCCCGGACAAGGCTGTATATCATTGAACATCATTTCTGAGAACTACCGGACAATCATTTGAGATCTACTACTACTTCCTAGCCCCAGGGCGCCCCAATGTCCCACCCATCTCTCATTCATTACTTCCTCAACAGTTAACCGCTCCTCATGACGAAAGACAAGCTTCGCCCGTAACATCGCCATCAAAAGTATCTCTCCTTGTCGCTTACCTCCATTTTGTCCCACCGATGCGGCTTCTGTATACAACTCTCAAAACACTCGGTCCATGCACTGGCTGGACCTTGATGGTTTATCCAACCACTGCGAACGCGCATCCCATTTCTTCCACCATTCGGGCGGTAGCTTACCCAGAGCAGTGACCTACTCGCTTATCATCCAGTTTCCTGGAAAGGCATATTGTTCAAAGACTGGTTTGGCGCCAATGATGCTCTGGGTTGAGCAGGCAAGACTCCAGATACTGGGAGCCGAGAGGAGTGGTGTGTCTGAGTAGTGCCGTAAAGTAGTCGTTAGCTTAAATGATTCGCCGAAATCAGTGAGGAGTATGTTGGCTTCGGGGTGGGTAATGGATTCGCTAGTTTTCCCTAGCTATACCGGTACGATGGCATAGGTGAGAACCCTGGTAGGGAGAGGCTGGTTGTTAAGGCGCTCAATAGGTTCGTAAAATGGCTCCTTGTATTTTACATAGAATTGGTCTTTGGAATAATCATCAATTGCTTTGGGGAGACGAAGGAGGATGTTGCCAAAGTGGATGTCTGTCCACATATATCTCTAGCACACCCGAGCCTACATGGTACAATGTCGGCATACCAGCATGGACAATCCCTCGAGAATGCAAAAAGGCAACAACAACCAACAACAAAAACTTGAACAAGTTGAGCAGCGATAGCCCGCGCTACAGGTAATTGGAAGAGTTCACCATACGGCGCCCCTCTAGCATCCGACAGACTCATACACGCAGGTACAGTGACAAGGCAATGTTCACCGCCACTGGGCCCTTTAACCACAAATCAAGCTAGGATCGAAGGATAAGGGCCTTTCCCAGATGCTTGCCAGAAGAGATATCAGAATTGAGTTGGTGTAGTCTATCGCTTTCCTGCCAGTTGCTATCGGCAATCAAGACCTTGATAGCAACATACCCGCCAGCTCGCTCGTCTCTCGCCAGCCATATTGTCGAGTATGGGCCAAGCCCAGCTTGTGTATGATATGGTAGTGGTTATGGAGATAGCCACCAATTTTCACTGAAAAATAGCCTCCAGCGTGGTATCCTCTTGGTCTTTCCACATGTTCAATGGGCCTGTATTGAAAAAAAAAAAAAAAAAAAAAAAAAAAAAAAAATACATATATATATATATTTGCAGCATTGCTGCTGGGTCTTGTACGATACCTGAATAATTTTCGAGTCTGGGGAAGAAAAAGAGGGGAACCGGAGCTTGTGAAGGTGGAGTCTGGTATCATAGGTTGGAGAATAAAGAGCATGGACTGTGATGTATATCCAAGATTGAGCTCTTTGTCTAGCGCTGGCATAGGATGACATTCCTACGATCTAGTGCTCGAGTACGTGGTATACCGAAGACCAACGTTGCTTTATATATATTGCACGCCAATCATGTCACACCCGACTTGCCTAGGCACCCCCAAATCGATACTGGAATACCCTCTTGTAGACCGAGAGGTCTTTCAAATAAGACCCCGACAGGTTGTAGGCCTGCTGATCGTTACATTAATCAATTCCTGGTGTCATCCGGATTGACTCGTATACTTCCTGGATCCAATTGATAAGATGGACCCAGAGAATGTGGGATGGACAGTAGCATCTTGAGTGCTTTTATATGGGTAGATTCCGGACAGGAGTACTCGATATAGAAGACTCAACCGACTCCGTAGACTCGGGGACAAGGTGGTGGATCCGGAGACAATTAAGACAACCTGAAAGGAACCCAGAAATGATTCAGATATCCTAAACAGGTAGAGAGACATGTGCAACATGACGGGAGAAGCCGCGAGCCAGGGAAACCGGTGGCCATACAGTTCTCCGTACCTCCGTACCTGCTAGGCGTGGATCCACTGATAAGATTGATATGGATGGCCTCTTTCGTCCCTCTCTCGCAGCACTGTATCTGTACAGACACGGTATGCATTTTGTCCCTTCTTTTCTTTATGAGAGTAGCCCGATATCAACTATGACAGGCTTAGAAGCACAGCAGGATTGGGGTTAGCGGTGGAACGGCACCGAAAAAGAGCCAACAAAACCCCAACTCAACATGTCCGTCGGGATGCGTTCTGCGGCGTATATCAGAGTATAGTGAACATAGTCGGTGTGGATGCGAATTTCAGGGGGGAAACGGGGTACGAACAGTTGAATTCGCAATAACAAATAGGCCAGAGATATAAAGAGGCTGTTGTCCTCTTCAAAAAGCGCTTTCGATCCGTGGTGATTTCGCTGGTATTGCATATCTGGTGCTCCGTCGAGTGTTCTACAAAAAATTTCAAAGACAACAGCTGGTCTCTTATATTTCGCTTGTCCCTCCAAATATTTTCTTTTTCTTCTTCTCTCTCTATCCTCTTCGCTTTTCCCTCCCACATATCCCACATAACTAATACATACCACCTAATTCCTCCCTCTATTTACTCTATCTACTACCGCCACCATGTCCGCCCGCCCCCAGAATATCGGTATTAAGGCCATTGAGGTCTACTTCCCTCGCCAGGTATGCTTTTAAATACTGGGATAAAGTGAAATTCATGCTAATTTCTTTCCAGTGTGTCGACCAGGCTGAGCTGGAGAAGCACGATGGCGTTAGCGAGGGAAAGTACACTATTGGTCTCGGCCAGACCAAGATGAGCTTTTGTGATGACCGTGAAGGTGTGTTTAGATTCTCAGTGACTAGTAATGGCAGCATACTGACAACTTTGTGACTAGACATTTACTCCATCTCCCTCACCACCCTCTCCTCCCTCCTACGCAAGTACGAAATCGACCCCAACTCTGTCGGCCGCCTCGAAGTCGGTACCGAGACCCTTCTCGACAAGTCCAAATCCGTCAAGTCCGTCCTGATGCAGCTCTTTGCTCCCCACGGAAACACAAACATTGAGGGTGTTGACAACGTCAACGCCTGCTATGGTGGTACCAACGCTGTCTTCAACAGCATCAACTGGATCGAGTCCTCCGCCTGGGATGGTCGTGATGCTGCTGTGGTCTGCGGTGACATTGCCTTGTACGCCAAGGGCGCTGCCCGTCCTACTGGTGGTGCCGGTTGTGTGGCCATGTTGATTGGTCCTGATGCTCCCATTGCTTTCGAGCCCGGTCTCCGTGCGAGCTACCTCACCCACGCGTACGACTTCTTCAAGCCCGACTTGGCCAGCGAGTACCCCGTCGTTGATGGCCACTTCTCCCTCAAGTGCTACACTGAGGCCGTTGACGCCTGCTACAAGGCCTACAACGCTCGCGAGAAGACCCTCAAGGCCGCCAATGGCACCAATGGCGTTGAGCAGGAGGACTCGAAGACCCCTCTCGACCGTTTCGACTACATCTGCTACCACGCCCCCACATGCAAGCTGGTGCAGAAATCCTACGGCCGCATGCTTTACAATGACTACGTGGCCAACCCCTCGCACCCCGCATTTGCTGAGGTCGCTCCTGAGCTGCGTGACGTCGAATACGAGAAGACTTTTGCCGACAAGAACATCGAGAAGACCTTCATGGGTCTGACCAAGAAGACTTTCGCTGAACGTGTGCGTCCCGCTTTGGACGTTGCCACTCTTTGCGGTAACATGTACACTGCTACCGTCTATGGCGGTCTTGCCAGCTTGATCTCCAACGTGTCTTTTGACCCCAGCAAGGCTACGCGTATTGGTTTCTTCTCGTACGGTAGCGGTCTTGCTAGCTCGATGTTCAGCGCCAAGGTTGTCGGTGATGTGAAGTACATGGCTGAGAAGCTTGACCTCCACAACCGCCTGAACAACCGCAACGTCTTGCCCCCTCAGGCTTACGATGACATGTGCCTCCTGCGTGAGCACGCTCACTTGGCCAAGAACTTCAAGCCCTCGGGCAACCCTGAGACCATTGTCTCTGGCTCCTACTACCTGACTGAGGTGGACGACATGTTCCGCCGGAAGTACGATATCAAGGCATAAATTGTTTTCTATGATTCCCCTTTTAATATTTGCTTTTAATCATACTGTTTTTACGAATTTTTTTTTCTTGGGACATGAACTTTTCAAATGTCGCAGAAAAGAGTGTTGATGAGAATTTGGCATTGTTTTATACCAGAAGGAGAAAGGATACTGTTAGAAACGGCGCTGGGATATTCCGGGTTTATGAGCAGTTTGCGATTCTGTCTTACTGTCCATAATTCATTAATCAAGCTATTGCTACGACATTCATTGTTACCTGTAGAGTATCCATCCCCCATTCTCTTAACTCCTTCAGAATAAAGTGCGCATCTTGCAACGAGTAGATGTAATTAGTTCATTTTGAAATGAGGAACTAATCAATGTTATTAAGACTGACCCATAAGTGCTTTTTTCTTTTTTCTTTTTTTTTTTTTGCACGCATCGACCATTCAGCGAGCTTGACGCCGGCGCTGCATCTCCGGCGCGTAAAATAGACCACCTCTCATATGGTGATATTTGGTGTATTTTAAGAAAGAAGAGAAAAAAAAA